CTTTCAAACAGTTTTTCCAAGTGATCAAGGTGCCCTTCTCCAGTCTAAGACATAGCTATCATGTCGTCAACATAGACCTTTATCTCGTGATGAATCATATCATGGAACAAATCTACAATAGCATACTGATAGGTTACCCCGGTGTTCTTCAACCCAAAAGGCATAACCTTGTAGCAGAAAGTGCCCCACTGTGTAACAAAGGTATTCTTCTCCATATCCTCAAGTGCCATTTTGACCTGATTATAACCGGAGAAGCCATCCATAAAGGAGAATATCTTATGTTGTGCGGTGTTATCAACCAGAACGTCAATATGGGGAAGTGGAAAGTCATCTTTGGGGCTCACCCTATTCAAATCCCTATAATCCACACACATATGTACTTTACCGTCTTTCTTAGGCACCGGCACCACATTTGCAACCGATTGTGGGTAGGAAGTAATAGCTAAAAACCCGGTATTAAACTATTTCATGACTTCAGCCTTGATCTTTTCTGACATTTCAGGACGCATACGACGAACCTTTTGCTTCACTGGAGGGAAGTCTTCTTTTGTCAGCAGACGATGAACCACAATATCAGTATTAAGCCCCAACATGTCTTTGTATGACCAAGCAAAGATGTCAACATAATCACGTAACATCTGGATTTACCGTTCTTTGACATTATCCTCCAAGTTGGCACCTATCTTGACTTCCTTTTTATTCTCCTCAGTACTTAAATTTACCGCCTCGACCGACTCTTCATGAGGCTGTATTGCTCTTTCCTCTTGCTGTAATAGTCTAGCAAGCTCTCCCAGTACTTCACAATATTCCTCACCTCCATCCTCATCTTGGTAGATCGAATTTTCAAAGTCATAACTGGCAATAGCATAACTATTATTAATGGGATCTAGGGTGGATGTGGATCTGCAATTTGATATGTGGGTGTGTGTAAGAGAACATAGCTATTTTGACCAATAAAGTTAAAAGAAAGATAAAGAGCGTAAAATTTGAATTCAAAACATCCACTGATTCATTAATGACATATGAAAATGAAGTATGATAACCCTCACAAATAGACCATTGTGCCTCGGGTAATACACACGGCTTAGAGTTTAATTTGTTCAAAAATTACATATCCCAAAAACAGAAAAAGAAACAATTACTCCTGGATAAAAAAGATAGGCACAAAGTCTCTAGCCGTCCAATTATTGGGTCCACCTTTAATGATAAGGAAGATCCAATTGTCCAGGTCGCAGTCACTGTCAGTGTCCTCCACAACATTGACTCCATGATTACTGATGCATAGTGGTGGTCCTCCGGTGCAAGCACGACGAATAACTTTTTGAGCTCCTGAAGTGAAACCCAAACCAAATTTGTCAGACTTATAGGAGATGTCAGGGAGTTGGCCCCAAATAGTACACCCACCTTCTTCAATTACAGCCTTGGTGTCTTTCAGAGAAGCCATCTTCAGTGGGGCCTGGTAATCTTTGGGACAACAATAACAGTTTTGTGACAACGATCGTCTGAGGAACCTCTTCAAAATTCTAACAGGGAGTTTCAATGAATTCCCCTTCCATCTCGACATACCTAAAAGAATTCAGGTGTCTCACCATATTTTCTTCTTCACCGCAGACTGTAATAATCTTTCTGTTTATAGGATATTTCAACATCAGGTGTAATGTGGAGGTGACAACACCGGCCCCATGAATCCAAGGGAGTCCAAGTAAGTAAGAGTAAGCCATGCGAATATACATCATGAGGAAAGTGGAGTCAAAGATTTGGGAACCAACTTTAATTGGGATGTCCACCTCCCCATGTACCATTCTTTTAGAACCATCAAAAGCCCTCACCACATTACTGGGTTTCAATGTAAGTCCTTCATAATCCAACCTGTCTAAGGAACGTTTGGGTAGGACATTCTGAGATGAACCAGTGTCAGCCAACATATAAGCTAGAGTAGTTCCCCTGCATTCAATGGAGACATGCAGGGCCTTGTTATGTTTTCTCCCCTCAAGAGTTAGATCAACATCAGAGAATCCTAGTCTATTATCAGCAATCAAATGGGTAACACAATTCTCAAATTGGTCGGCAGAAGTCTCTTGTGGCACATGGTAAGACTTTAGAAACTTCGCCAAAGCCTTAGCATGGGCCTCAGATCACAATAACAAAGCTAACATTGAAATCTTTGAGGGGGTTTACCCCAATTGTTCCACAACATTGTAATCACTTTTCCGCATGATCTTCAAAATTTCCTCCATTTCTTGCTTGGAGGCCTCAGGAATGGTTTCTTTCAGTGCCTCCTTCTGGGAAGTCTCAGTCAATACTTCTTTCCCCTGAGCCTCAGTTGGATCAGTAGAAGGGGTAGCAATAGGAGTAGCAACAGTCTTTGGAGAGATTTTCGAGAGAAAATCCTTTCGCTTCTAGTAACCTCACTGGTCCCAACAATATTGTTAATGTTAGGATCAGTAACTTAGTTCTTGATAGTCAGTAGGTCTTATTTGACGCCATGGTAGTAGATGTCAGCTCCATAATTCCAAGGAATAACCTTGTTGGAGGAATATGGTATTGTCCCTAGAGAAGTAATGATCAGGGGAGCAACTTTAGGGTTGGCGGTAATCCTTATAGGACCATTGGAGGAGATCCTTGTAGGATTATTGGAAATGGTAATAATTGACACGTCTTCACATTTCACATCTTCACCTAAGTTTTTCACAGAGGGAGTCTTCTCAAACAAAATTTCCCTGCCGTTCATCAAGCGTTGAACACCTATCCTCAGCAACATACAACCATTGGGAAAGGATGCACAAAGGTAACAATCTTCACCACAACCTGGAAATAAACTGGCTCGTAACAGATTCTTTTTAACAACTGGAAGAGGGGTAGTCAGATCATTCACGGAAGAAACAAAAAGAACATCATCAACATCATTGATACCCTTGTCATGTTTGGGCATCGGTGCAGTAATTATGTTGGGGGTCTCAGGCGAGTCAAATTCAATCTCCTTTGCATCAATAAGGTCTTGAACTTTATTCTTCAGAGCCCAACAATCATTCGTATCATGCCCCGGACTATTGGAGTGGTTAGCACACCGTGCATTTGGATTGTAACGGGGAGAGGAAGTATTTGGGTTTTGAGGAGGATCCCTCAGAGTGACCAAGTCAGCCTTCACCAAATGTTGCAACGCCTGAGACAAAGGCATGTTGATCCTGGTGAATTGTCTTCTAGACACATGTTGCTTGCGCTGATTATTTTGTTGTTGAGCTGGTGTAGGGTTGGAGATCATTACAACTCCTACCGTTGGACGACGTTCAACTTCACCAAGACTTATTTGACCATAGGAAGCATTAACCTCCCTCTTTCCACTGAACGACTTCTTCGTAGTACTTGAAGATGCAGCCTCTTGGATTTTACCACTCTTGATACCATCTTCCACTTTTTCTCCTATGAATATCAGCTCGGTGAATCCGGCTGAAGAGCTTCCAATCAAATGGTTGAAAATGGGCCTATCAGAGTACCCATGAACATATCTACCAACTCCCTATTGTTGCACCCCAAAATTTTACCTCGTAAATTTCTTTCATCTGGCTTAGGCTGTCGCATTCGCATTTTTTCATTAGGTCAGTAATATAGCCTACATTTTGCATTTCAGAAGAGCACCTGAGGTTCAAAAGATTAGTAGCTATGAAACTAGGGTTTACGACTGTTTTGAGGTGTATATGATTGAATAAGATTAATTATTCTATTTCTTCTTGGTGTACAAGGCTGTGGAGTTAGGGTTTCGGTTCATGCTCATTTTTTGGAATTCTTCTCCATCAAGCTACAAGGCTATTATCTTCTGATGAAAAACTGGTTGCAGGTTTTTCTTGTCAAGAATTCAAGAGGGGGACCTAGCATACATAATCTTTAAATCCAGACGTCTCCTCATATAAGTGTGCTTATCATTTGATCAGGCTTACTGACTATGACATGGCATTCATCCACTCTTCAGTTAACCAATTCAGGTTTTTTTGAATCATGGTTCAAAGGATCAATGGGTGTGAAGCTAGGGTTTTCTTTTGGTTCGAGGTGTTTATCAAACAAGACTGATTCTTCTGGTTCTTCTTTGTACATTGAATTATGAATTTAGGGTTTTTATTCATGGTTATTGTGGGTCTCTTCCTTATTAAGCTACAAGGATATCTTCCTCAAGGTAAGAGACAAAGCCATTTTCATCACAGCGCATCTCAAGAAAATTGTAGTTCTTATGCGTGGAAATTAAGCGTGTTAACTCATCAACTGGGGTTCATTAGATTTACATGTTAAGGCTATCTTGGTAGTTATTCCTCCTATGTCTCAAGTTCGATATTCATCTTCAAAGGATTCCTCGAAGGATTATTGTTCTCTCCAGTTGTCATTACTTGTAATGCAAGTTTCATGGGGAATTGAGGATTTGATTAGGGAAGTATCCATTCAAGTTTCTTAAGGTGCCAGTGTCATAAGTATTTCCTGTAATGCAAGGTATAAGTAAATGTGAAGGTTATAAAGCATGGTCTCAAGATTAGTTAAGATTCTCAAGCACATGTTTGTCAAGAGTTGATTCATGTTAGTATTGGAAGAAAGTTCATGTGGATTTCTTCACAAGTTAACTTGGACTTATTATTTCAATTGAGTTTGAGGTGCATTAATCAAGCATGTAAATTGGAAGATCCATCCATGGTTGATCTCTTGAAATTCAATCTACCAAGGCGAAATAATACAACATTTCAAACGTTATTCAAGGCATGAGATCACTTTCAATTTCAAGTGGAAGATTCAAGTTCCAAGTGATTCTATTCAAAATTTCCAGCAAATTTCTTCATCCAATTTCAATTCAAAGTTCCATTAACCATTTCAAAACCTATTCATTCCATATTCAACAAAAATTCCAACAAGTTCATTCATTTACAAATTTACCAAGTCCTTTCAATTTCAAATATCATACACCATTTTTGTTCAAATTACATTCAAAACCTGTACAAATTCCATACGTGTCCATTGCATAGCTCAATTACAAGATATATTCAAATTCATTCAAAGCTACAAGAAAAATTAAACCTAACAAAGTATATCCTAATTTGAATCATTCTCCATGTTCCAACATCAACATCAACTCCATCATTATACTCAATGTTGCACTGCATCAAACTGTCCACCTGCTAACTAAACTAGGCACCATACCAGGCTTGTATAACACACAAAACCTATTGCATCAGTCACAAGAGCCCATGTTCACATTGCAAAAACTATTTCAAACAGCCACGGTTTGTCGCGTACGCCTTAAAGGAAACATGTCATCACCACTTTAATAGCTTAAAGCATACAACCTGCAAAACATATGCAAGAAAAAGGGCAGCTCGTCAAAAACATCACCGTTATTAAGTCCACAAAAAAAATCAAAATAACAAACTACTAACTGAAATCAAAAGCTCAGATTCATAACAAAGTTTCACTTCTTGAATCAATTGCAACCCCTAAAGCAAACATCGGCTCAACAGATTTTGCAGCACCATCATGTGGGTCCAATAATTTCGATCAGTCTTTTGGAGATCCATTTGGTTATTCACCATTCAAGGCCAATACTTATGCGGAAATCATTCCAGTTCAATAATACAGGGAAAAGATCAGAAATATTAGAAAGAGGAAACTGTGATAACAAAAAAGGAGAAGAAAATTTTGAAATCAGAAACGCAAGAAGGAAAGGACAGAACCTTGAGAATAAAAAATAATGGAATCAGAAACAAAATTACAAATTAACAAATATTTCCAGCTCATTTCAAGTCGACATAACTAACTTTCAATTTCAAAAATTCTTAACTGTAACTAGCTTTCTACCAAGCTAACAGAAAGAAAAAAAGAAATTCCTCACCTCTTTTAGATGGATTCTTCACGGTTCACAGGGAAAAAAGGGAACATATCTGAAACTCTCTAATCCTGCAGAAATCTAGAGAACAAAAGCCAGCTCCATATTTGATGCAATCCTAGCCATCTATTTTGGTAACAAACTTTTGAAACCAAGGGCTCGAATTTAAACATCCCTAACAAACTATTTCCAGGATAACAAAATATGTAAATAGAAAATCTTACCAGGATCAATTCATTCTTCAGCACCCTGAAGAATCACCAAGAAAGATTCTTCCCACTTCTCTGACCTTTATATTCATCCACCGAAAAAGAAGAACAAAAACTCTCTCATCTTTTCTCTACTTGGTTCTTCCATCTTCGTCATTCCTTCTTCATTTTCCACAGGAGAATCACCATAAAACCAGAAAACTCTCATCTCCCTCATCCTCATCAAGTCTCTGATAAAACTTCTCTACACAACCTCCATCTTCAGCGCGTCATCGATCACTTCATTCTGCACCTTCATCATCAATTCAAACATGCAATTTCAATCATCAATCTTCATCAATTGTTGTAAGATCTTGTATCACACCAACACAATTTCATGTAATCTACAACAATTCCGCTTATCACCAGTTCACATGCTGAAACAACACGACATCGTAACCTGCGTTTTCTTCACAACATCAACGCAACGTCACCTTCATCTATTCAGCAGCGACGAATTCGTTAGAGTAATAATCGAAATGGAATCAGAATCACAGAAGAAGAAAAGACGAAGAAGAACGAATTACGCACCTGAGTTGTTGGATTCATAATTTTTAGATCTCTTGTATCAGCGATATGGTTACAGAGACGCCAGAGCGTCTCCGGGCGTAAGCTTGAAGACACATCGGATAGGTATCTGATAGGTCAGTCTCGTTGCTTCAAATTCTTTATATCATTGTCATTCCGCCGTGTATTAGCTTTCCGTTTCCGCGTTGGCATTTTGTTTCTGTATGCTGAGATGAGAAAGACGAACGGGAGAACGATTCGAATTGAAGAAGATAATACAGTAGAGTAGACGAAATCTAACGAAGATGGAGAGGCCACGGTGTTGAGCTGAGACAAAGTTGGGATGAGTCGGCGAAGAGGTAGTTACACTAGGAATCAATCGGAAATGAGGCTATGGAGGTTTGACTGCTGAGAACGCTGGAAGAGAGTAGCGGTTCGCGGCCTCCATTACACATGAGGGAGATGAAGAGTCACAACTGATTGATCCCTATCCCTCTTTTGATTTTTTCTTCCTTTCCTTTTTAATTTGTTTTTTTTCTAATTCAAGTACATTGATATAATTGAAGCTGGACCGAGCCACGCTCACCATATTAGCCCGCGTATCTTTTTTGTGTAACTGCAGAAAGTACAAAAAATGACTTCGACTATATTTTTGGGCCTTCAACGCCTGTTTTCTAGATCATACCAATTGATCCAGTGCACCACCATGCTATCAAGCCCATTGTATTTTTTTTATATCCTGAAAGAATTAAACAAAAAAAACGGGATTGGTCTTGTTGAACTTGGTCAAATTGTATTCCCCTAAGGCCCATCGTGAATTTTTGGAGCCTGCAACACTTGTGGCAAAACTGGCTTATTGGGCTATCTCCATTGGTCTGCGCCTAGTTTCTGCTTGAGCACACCACATGAAATCCAGCCTGCACCCGTTTGGCTTGTTTCTTTTGCTTTTTGCAACTTTCTTTTAAATAATTTCGTGAATTGCTTAGATTTGTTTGATTTTTTTGAGATGATTAAAAATTAAAAAAATCAAGGAAAATTTGTTAAACTTTTTTTTATTTGGTTTTTTGGAATTAAATCTCTATTATCTGATTACTTGAGATTTGTAATTCACCTTTGCTTGTTGAGTTTGAGTCTTATGCAGGTTTAATATGCGGTATGCGGATACACTTGGGATTTTGATTGTGATTTATTTTCACATTGATGATGCTTCGGCACTTATCTCGAGCTCTTGATTTCTGACTCTTTTCTTTGCTTGATGAAGCTTACTCGAAGTTTTCCGGGTTTCTTTGTTTTGATACGCTTTACTACAGATTGATATCCGTTTGGTATTTTCTCTTGTTTATCTCATTTCGCACTTTACTGCTTTCTAGATGTCATGAGAAGTAGGAAATAAAGAGCGTGCACTCGAACTTGCTGTTTAAAGACCTGTAGTAGGCATTTTGCACTTCATTTGCTATATGTGGTGTGCTTGTGTTTACTCTCCTTGATTGTTGATCGATGAGTCACTCAATTTAGGAATTGAGATCACGACTTTGTTTTCAGTGCATGCTCCCTATAGGATTTTATCACTTTCCTTTATTCCTTGTTGATCGATGAGTCACTCAATTTAGAAATTGAGATCACGACTTCGCTCTCATTGCATGTTCCCCATAGGATAGTTTTGTTAGACTTTATTTGGTATGCTACTAGATAGGATCTCTCTAGGTGTGCTCTCTTGAGCTTATTGGCTTGCTTGCTTGATTTCATCTTTGTGTGCATGTTTTGAGATGATATACCCTCGGCATGTTCCCTTAGGAGCTCTCGATTCAACTATAGATGATGATTCGAGATAGACATAGTTTTAGGTGATAGACCCTTGCTATGCTCCTTTAGGACTTCTTGATTCATCTATAAATGATGATTCGAGATAGACATTAGGATTGTTATCCAAGCATGTCAACATAGGGTAGAGATTTCCCTTCAAAGCTCAACTTTAAGATCAATCATTATATGATAACATTAGGGATAGATCTAGGTTAGTCTCCCTTAGATGTTTTCTTTTCCTTTGCATCCTTGCATTTAAAACAAAAACTCTTTTTCTTAGCAAATGCATAAAACATCTAACAATTTTCAAATCCTTTTTTAAGGTAAAAAATACCAATCTATGCAAACTCTTTGCGCCTTCGGGATTTTCTTTCAAAATTTTTCAGAGAGGACATGTTAATTCACTTCTGTGTTGATGCGTGAGTCTCCAAATGTCGAGTTGTGGCAGAAGGAGAAATTAATATTGTTCATTAAAAAATACAAACTCACAAAAAGCTTTTGGAGCCGAACTACGGCTGCTCTAATTCCTTAAAAGAGATACGTATGCATTGGGGTAGGGCCCGAGCAAGCACAACTTTATTTTTTCCCTACATTCTTTCCTTCTTTCTTTTGCATGCATTCCCTGTACAGCTTAGATGTAAATTCTTACACACCCATTAGATTAGAACAACAAGAGTGGATACCGTAGAGTACTATGGGCGTGCGGGGTGATAACACCTTCATCTCGCGTAACAGAATCCCTTACCTGTATCTCTCGGTCGTTTGATCGTGATTTCACCCTTCTCAGGTTTACTTGATGTTTACCTTTCCCCTCCCGTGGGATAAAAAATGTTCGATGGCGACTTTATTGATTTTATTATCAGTTGATTGTTCAGCCGATTGTTTCAGCTGGAGACTTCACTGGGGAAAGATTGACCTATCGCTGGTCCACCCCGCAGTCGATCCTAGTCTTATTTTATTTTCCTTGGGTGTTTATTTTTATGCTTTATATCTTGTTCATTTTGTACATGTTTATTTGAGCATATGTTTGCATTGCATTTTATCGCTTTGGATATATTAGTGATACTGCTGTGCTGGATCTGTTTTCATGATTGGGTGGGTGTTGCAAGAGGTAAAAGGCCCAATACCCAGGCCAAGTGACAACCATAGGGACCCTAGGAATAGAGTGGAACATGGACGGCTAGTTGACTTAGGTTTCACTATTTCTGCCATGTCGTCCATGCTCAGATGAGGTACAAATGAGGGGCTATCATTTTCATGTAGGTGATATGATGATAGTTTTTCAAGAGTACCGTCTATTCGGGGTTACCTGACCTTACCCTGACCTAGTTTTCACCTGTGATAGGGGAGGGACTTGATTATTACATGTACATATGGTGCCTATGTTCTGATGGTAACCGTTGTTCTGTTGGTGACTATGTGGGTCTCAGATTTATTTTGAGTTTCTGGATTCAGTATTCAAGATGGTTCTTTGGTTATGTTCTGGACCTTTGATCCTGATATATTCATATTGTCCAAAGATTATACAATGGTTATTCATGGTACCTGGTTCCGTTGTGTTCTGAAATTAGTGTCAAACCTTTGACCCTGTGATATTCAGATTATTCAGCAGATTTATACATCAGTTATCTAGAGGATTATACACTTGTTATGCTGAAATTTTGAACCTATGCCATTGGACCTTGCATCATAGCATGTTTATTTTACACACAAAAAATGTGAAATATTGTATGCATAAAAAAGATGTTTGAACATGGCATCGTATCCATTCATTCACCTCATGCATCTTCATGCATTCATAATAGGTACTCAGGATGGGGAATTCTTATTCAGGTCCAATATTTTCTCTTCAGAGTTGTGAATCTTGACTTCTCACTGCTATGTTATCCGAAAAATCTGTGGAATAACTTCGTGGGGATTTTGATGAGATAAAAAAAATCAGATGGGGCTATTTATCATGGACATACAGGTCTTGGCCCATGGTCAGAAATCCTTAAAGGAGGAAAGATAACCAGTTAGAGACTCATTTGAGTCGGATATGGAAGTTCTGAAGACAATGTCAGTAAGGGAAAGAGATTCTATATATGGTGTTGCTACAGAAGTTGTCATTCATCCCCAGCTTAGGGGACATTTTTTTCAAATCGAGTGATACTTTGTAGGTCTCATCCAGAACTTCCTGTTCCCGGATTTTCTTGCTAGTAGCTAGTTTCTGGTGTCCAAGTGAACCCATGGGGTAAAACTTACCAGTAGAGACAAAAAAGCTTGAGAAGCAGGTTGATACAATCTTTATACCTTGTATCCAGTTACTTCCTCGTGTGTTGGAAGCTCAGTTGATTAAACTTCGTGATTTGGGTCGTCCTCCAACAAATTTCTCCCCTAATTTCGATGCAAATGCTAGATGCGTCTCCCATTCTGGGGCACGTGGTTATGATATTGAATACTACAAGGAGTTGAATTATGGAGTTTGGTACTTGTCTGGCTTCTTTTCCAAGGTTCAGTCCATGTTTGGAAAACCGTTTCAGGCTCTTTTTCCTCAGCTGAATGCTTCTTATGTGTAAGTAGAAGATGGGGTGATGCTTCTGTGACGAAGAAGTATAAGATATCGAGATCTTGGACATCCGCTGTCGTGTAGAAAGAAAATACCTCAAAGTTCGAATTATACATTCAGAGTTTAGTTTCTTCTGTGTAGTAGAAGATTCTTGTTACAGTTATTGGATTTTACTTTTGTGTAGTAGAAGACATAGATTCTTTTGTGAAGTAGGAGATTATCCGTAATTCAGTTGCTAAAACTTCTCTCTTGTGAAGTAGAAGATGAAGTTTACTTTATTTTGTGTAGTAGAAGATGGTTGGCATTTCTTCTCTGTGGTAGAAGACACTTTGTGATGCATTTTATGCAAGTTTGCTTGATAAAGCATTCATCACATATGGTGAAGGAATTCGATGTGATTACCATACTGGGGAACTAGGACATTCCATTGAAGATTGCAGGGCCTTTAAAGAAAATGTGCAAGGCCTGCTTGATGCAAAGGCTGTCAATTTCGAGCCAGCCAGTCAGATTTGAAGTTTCCTTTGACTCAGTGAATGTCAAGACTACCGAGCACATCTTCTGAAGCAATAAATCCATACGAAGACTAGTCTCCTCAACATGGAAATTTCAAATTACATATGCATTCTCATTTGTAATATTTCTTGTTTGGTTCAGTACTTTCTTGTAGGAAAAACTTGCTGATTTTTTAATATT